CGTTACGAACATTGAACGTTCAATACGCATTAGAAGTTATATAAATGTAGATTTTACTTTATTTTATCTATATATATATAGGAATGTTTCCTCTATTTTAATTCGCATCATACACCGAGGTTATTCATATGATAGAATATTATACCGATGAAAAGCCACGTATAACGTAGAGAAGGCTTAACAGCAGCAAGATACGTGCAAAAGTGAAAATCGTTAATGTAAAATTGCCAATGCTTTCCTTCCTTTTTATAAGAATTTACCATACATATATTCAAGCTTTGACGTCAATCGCATGAATCAACGCCTCAAAGAAATAAATAAACGAAATTTTCTCCTTCGACGAGCAATAGGCTCCGTTAGGGGAATACTTTCTTGAGTACGGTGCATTCGTTTCATACTTTACATAACTTTTATCCTTTAAACATTATTATTTATTTAAAAAAAAATAAAAATAAAAAAGAAACAACAAGGAATATAACGTTGTCAAATTTTGTTTAAAAATAAATATTATCTTGCAATGGAAACTTTCTATAATATTAAACTTTTGTGGATTGACAATATTATTCTATTCACCGATATCACATTCTCTCCAGGGCAGTTGGTTGAGAAAATATTTGCAGATCGGTTCATGCAATATCAAGGATGGTATGTGTACAAACGATACGATCGAGATGGATCAAGCAGAAACAATAGTCTATTTGCTTCCTTCGATCTTCTTGAGCCGGTGCGTGCATCCTATAAGACATGGAGTGAGGGGGGGGGAAAAGCTTAGGGATGTTTCTTGGAAAGGGGGAGAGTGAGAGAGAGTCGAAGAGCTTCTCTCAAGATACAATGGATAGTTACTTTACCAATTACGTCTAAAACGTCGGTGAAATTCCAAAGGTTGAAACTTTGATAACAGCTGCTGACGTGATTTATTCTGTATCGCGGAAAGATACCGAAATTGCATCCTACCGGTGATTAATTAGATTCTCATCACTTCCTATATTTCACCTAGATATAACCGCGAACAAAAAGGGTTGATATTATTGTCATCGTTATTAATTAATCTTCAAAATATAATGGAAAATATTATAGCAACACACACACGTGACCAAATGAAGAAAGGATTCAAATGATAATGTTAAACGAATGATATGTTATTTCCTACATTTGGAAAATCCAATTTAACGTTCGCGATCTCGTTGAACATTCGAATATTCGAAGAAGAACAAAGAATACCACTACTGTGTTCGAACGATCGATAAACTTTGCATAAATCTTCTCCGTTGAAAGAAAAGAAAATCAAGTCTCGTACATTTCGGAACGGATCTTTCGCAAAGTTCGTTGCAACTGCGAATGACGTTTCGTCACTGAGCTTATTTATTCGGGTTATACTAAATTATTGTCTCGTTCGTTAATTAAATTCGAACAAAGAAAAGAAACATTTGTCTTTTTTTTTTTTTTGTAAATTTGTCACTAAGGAGAAGAAGAAGAAGGACAAAAGCAAAGTTATAATAAAACAAAATGTTGAATTTTGAAAATAAATCAAAAGTAAAAATTTTGTTACATTTGTACATACAATACGACGATGTTACGAAATAACGACATATTTCTAGTTATAGAATACCCTTTGACCGAAATTGATGAAAGGAAATTCTTTTTCAAACGAAAATAGGAAGCTTACCCATCCGCAGTAGCAACGAACGTTCAAAACGATGAAGCTTCGTAAATCATAGCGACAATGTACTTTGTAAACTTAATAAATTGGTCGATGGAAGTAACGTCACGCTTTCATACCTTCCTTTTTCTCTTTTGAAAAAAAAAGATAACCGATGATTAAAAGCATTTCCAAAATATAGAGAAACAATCGATCATTTTCTATAGAAGAATTTTTGTCCAATTTTATATTACACAAAACGCTAAATCAACAATACTTATTATAAGAAATGTTCGTTCAAAAGTGTGAACTAACATAACTAAGATTGATTTTTTATAATGGGAAGAAAAAGGATAAAAAAAAAAAAAGGTATTTGCATTTGAATCTTTGCGATCTCTAAGGACCAACCTTCGTCTTTTGGAACGACCTAAACTTGAAAGTACCAACACCCACTACTACTATTCGTGACTTCATCTTTCTTTATCTAGTCACGACATTCGATTTCAATAACGATTTGCGTTTAGATATCTTCGAAGAGTTTGAAATCTACTTTGAAATGATCTTGAAAGAATGAAAAAAAAAGAATACTATCCTCTTCAATTCTCTTTTTTTTTTTTTTTTAAGTTTTACTCGCACCTCATTAAAGAAAAATACGTAGAATTCATTTATCTGTTCTTTCATAGGTATATCAAAAATATTCTAATTTATTACTTATGATTACTTCTTTTCTATATAATAATTCATTCAATGGATAATAAACAAGTTTCACAAAATAGATTATAAGAAATGTATTAAATTTCGTAAAGCTTAGGGAAATTTTCCATAGGATTATTCATACATACGTCTCGAATTTTTCAATTTACTCGTCTTCGGATGAGTCGATTCTACAATAGAACGAAGTATGTCACCTATCTATCTAAGTATGTACGTATGTATGTATGTATGCATGTATATAAAGAAGTTCTTTTGTCACGTGCGAGAAGAATAGTAGTAGAGCTTTTCTCAACGTAGGAATCTTTATCGAGTTTTCAGAATCTCAATAAATTCAATTCCCTTCTAGTACTCTTCTCAATCGTTTACAATTCCATTCGTGTAATACAATTCTATAAATTAGCTCTTATTCGAAGAAAAATAATATATATATATATATACATATTCGTTTTTTAGATTAGTATTTAAAAAGTTGCAAAACAAAATGACGTATCTTATATACGAGGTAATCCAATTAGCGTTTAGCACAAATTTATTTAATATATTAGAATTATTATTAATATATTATATTAATAATATTAAATATATTAATATAATATATTAATAATATATAAAATTACTAATATATTTTATATTATATATTTTATTTATATTATATATACGATAATTATTATATTATAATTTATTTAATATATCAAATACATGAAATCGTTCTAAATAAAAATATTCTAATAAATATTATAATATTAAAAAAAAAAATAAAAAAAAAAGAACGCGTATAAATGATAATAATAAAATAATATTTTTAGTCGCGTCTGAGGTTAAGCTGAAATCTCGATAAACTAGAAAAGCGAATATTCCTATTCGAATGTTAATGCGAGTTGGAAGGTAAGTGCCAATACGTGGGACAAAGCATATTCCTTCTATCGTGCATTGAATATGAAAAAGAAAAGACAAAAGTAGAAGGAACGTGAGAAACAGAGATTCCCAAGCTTCAATCCTTAGGGAAACGATTTAACGATTACGTTTTTCGCTCAATTCAACGTTTAAAGTACCGACGACTTACTAACTGTGAGCTTCCATTTAATAATATTCCTGAAAAATACTTTGATCCATTATTTCTTTCCAGAATATAATTATTATTTATATATATTTATGTATTCTGTATCAATCGTTAAGGGTTTAAAAGAGACGATAATTAACGGGATTTGTTATATACAAGGATATACAGATATATATATATACCAGTAATGTACATCGTTTTGAGAAACGCTTAGCCAGTCTGATTTACAGCCGCTCACATACGGCTATTATAATTAGATATACATAGTAGCAATGTAAAGGCGATTTATTGTATAATTATACGACAGATGTACGCATGTTTAATGTCACTAACAGGCGTGTCATTCCATCTAATATAACATCCATCTGTTATAGATATACGATCGATGTTACATTACTTTTCTTTATTCTTTCGAACAAGAAGATGAAAAGATCATTAAGTATAACATCTATCATTTGAAAATATAAAAATATAAGAGCAATAAATTTATGTCTTTACAAACTTGATTAATTAATTTCATTTAATTACTGCTCAAAGGGAAAACGATACCATGGAATAACGGAAGATTGATTCGTTCTTTCGGTGAATTAACTCCTGAGAAAGTTTTACCACCGAAGAAGATGAAGTTTCACTTTTTCCCTCGAAGAAACTTACCCAAACTACTAATCAAGAACATAAAATAATTTCGGTTATCGTTGTATCAATTTAATTTCAACTTCGAGTTTTTGAATTTTATTTCATATCACTTTTATCGAATGAACTCTATTACAATTGGATAAAAGGTACGAGTATAATAATCTGCGAATGGTTATCTTTTATATTGAAATAAAAACGAATAAACGATGATAGCAAAAAATTAATTTTCCACGATGGCTTTTGTTCTCTTTGTTTCTGTTAAAATAATCAACGAGATAGAAACACGCAAAATTGTTGCGTGTTTTTTCAATGAACGTTAATAAATTATGATATTAATAAACTAGAATATTATTTATTTTAATAAATAACGTTACAACGATGAAGCTTGTAATCGAAAAAAATAATGAAACATGCCAGACAAAATATTGATCGGATGAAAATCTTTTTATTAAATAATTATCTTTGAAAACGTTTGGCTCTTACTTCCATCTCCAACAGAGAGAGAGAGAGAGAGAGAGTAACTCTTTGAACAGTGCAATTTCTTAAAGGAAAAGCATGACACCAAGTACGGTAATTATTCGAATTTAATTAAAACTACTTCTCTAACTCCTTGTGCCATGGTAAAGTCATTAATTGAAAGCAAAGTACGATGGTAATATAGGAATGTATATATGTAAGTACATATATCTATGCATTACATATAACTAACAAAAATATATCAAATATATAACTTATATCACAATCGAGCAATATGTTACATCAACTGTGACATTTGAATAAAAATATTTTTAATTCTTCTATATACTGCAATTGTTTTAGTTACATATTTTAATTAAAATAAACTTGTGTTGTTTTTATTTTTTTTTTTATTTTATATTGAATTCTATAATGAAATTGATTTCATAAAAAAAATTCGAGCAATATAACATTGTTATTTTGAACCTGTTACAGGTGCTATCTTTACGGAGGATCAGAAGGATAGTCCCTCGGAACTAGCTTTTAAATATGCAATTTATAAGATCAATAAGGATAAGACACTTTTGCCAAATACAACGTTGGTCTACGATATTCAATACGTGCCTAAGGATGACTCTTTTCGGACGTCGAAAAAAGGTAAATATATTATTAAAATAAAAATAATCAATTTAAAAATATGTATATCTATATTATCACGATGTAATACGACAAAATCACGCGTGTTTCAGTTGATATCGACAAAATATCGTAAAGCGAATAATCTATGCCTTGCATTAACATATCCAAATCATTCATAAGAATTTCAATAGATATTTCATATCCACGTAATTAGTAGTTTAATTACGACGCTTTGAAATTTATCCGACTAATGGAAAATATCGGAATAAGGGATGAGAATATAAATATATAATTTTCAAATGAATTAAAAAATTATAAAAAACAAAAATGCATAATTAACGTTATATCGTTGCATTTTCAATACAACACATTACAATCGTTTATTTTATTTATTCTCAAACATTTTTATATTTATCTAAATAGTTATTAAAATGAGAAGCAAGAGTTTTGTTGTTTTCTTTTTGTTTTTTTTTTTTTTTCAACAAGAATGCATCGTAAGCACACGATCATTGCAAATATTAACTATATTTATATATTAAATTTTGTCGAAAGAAAAAAAGAAAAAAGCATTTTCCTAACTTTTGAGATGGGCACGTTCAATACGCATACTCATGGTCAAATGGTAAGATGCTTTTTAAATACTTCAAAAAATTCAGGCCGACATATTTCGATAAGACACGAATTAACGATCTGCAGACGATGCTTGAATCTATTTCAAGTATGTACTTTATATATTTTCTTTTCTTTTATTTTTTTTTCTACCTCCCCTCCCCCACCCCCACCCTTAACGAACTAATAACTCATATACAATAAAATAATTTACGTTTACACGAAAAATAATTATTTGATTTTATTTTCAATTGAAAAAAAAAAATGTAGAAAAATATCGTACGTTTTACAAAAGATAAGTTCATTGGAATAAAAAAAAGTGTACAGAAACTCTGACGAAACCCCTGATGCAACCCTGACTCGTTTTATATCATACCAGACATGACACAAGGTTTGACAACTTTCCAAGCAAAGTCGTGATTGGCTAAAATCCTCGAGCATCCCCTTTAAGACTGACTACTACCCTCTTAGAACCAATTGCTTCGGGCTTTGGTCTTTTACGTAATATTATATTCATGTAAGACTTTGGTTGAATTTTTCGAAAAAGTATTTCTTCTTTTTCCCTGTTTTTTTTTTCATACTAAAATAAAATAAAATATAACAAGGGCAATATCTGATTTTTTTCAAATTTTTCACAAATTTTTCTTTCGCGTATTGCCCGGTTAATGAGACGAGTTCTTATTTCAAGATATCATTCTATTGGGTTGGCAAGAAAGTAATTTCGGTAATAAGTAAATATATATTATAAAATTATATATATTATTATATTGTAAAATAATATAAGTATTTT